TGGAAGGCGCATATAGACAACTTCTTCTTCCTTGAGTAGGCAGTTAATAAAGGCGTTAACTGCATCTATCTAATCGAGCTCGAGGTCGAATTCTGCTACTATAGCTATAAGGGTCCGAAAAGACATCCCTACTAGGGTAGTTGCCCTAGTAGGAAGATCCCCTTTTTCTTGCTAGTTCCCGCAGACAACTAGCCGGGCTTTACACTTTTAAAGGAAGCCGTGTTTATCAGTCTTATAGATAAAGACCTACTTATAGCTAAGGACCTGTTTTCCTCTTGCTTTTTCCTTTAGGACCTCTTCGAAAGACCCTATCTCTTCGTGTGAGGCTAGGTGGTCTTTCTAGGCCTAGAAAAACTCCTCTTTAAAAGGATGTCTTTCTAGCTGCTTCTGGTTTGCTAGTAGGTCTAGGAGGTCTCTTTTGTGTACCTTCCTTGCTGATAGCTGTGGCTTGAAGAGCCGGCCTACTATGAACGCTCCGTGGGAACCGTCTTCTATAGGCATGGGATAGAAGTCGGAAAAACGATCGAAATAGGGGAGAAACTAGTCTTCTTTCGTATCGGGCCCTATACCTTCCTTTGCTTCTCGAAGCAAGGACAAAAAGGCAATCGGGTAATCCTTCGAGAGAGGTGCCTTTCCCACCCCCTTAGGGGTCGAGACGGGAAGACTAACTAAAAAAACTGCTTCTAGATCTTCTTCTTGCGTAGGAGGAGGCGTAGGTAGGTAGGCGTATTCTAGCTCTACCGCTTTCCTATAGTCTCCTTCTTCGTCTAGATTATCTGATCTAGCAGCTTCCTCTTCTTCGAAGTCGGCGTTATCCTCGACTGCTTCGACGTCGGTTTCTTCTTCCGTTTCCTCGTCTAGGACCTCTTCTTAAGACTGTTAGGAAGGGGGGATTTAGATCTTCTAAATTAGCTGACGTTGTGAGAGTAAGAGGGGCTATTAATCCCTCTTTCCGTCGAAGAAGCTAGATTCGTCGAAAATCACATCCCTAGTCGAAATAACCTTCCGTAGAAGAGGAATCCAGATCCGGAAGATATTCGTAGAATTATACCTAACGAGGTAACCAACAAAGGCTCTAGGATCAAGCTTTCTTTTCTTCTTCCTTTTTAGCTGTGCATCGGCAGTTATTGCGTATGCCTTATAGCCGTAGGCACGAAGGTGGGCTAGCGAGGCCCTTTTCTTCGTAAAGAGCTCGAGGGGGGATTTCCAATCTATTCCTTAGGTCTTAAAAAGGGTCTCTGGGTCCCTATAGTCCCTTAGTCCCCTAGGGTCCCTTGGGGTCCGGTTCCGAAGGTAATAGGCGGTCTCAACGACTTCCCTCCAAAGGTCGTGTGGAAGCTTTGCAGCAAGTCTCATCGTACGGGCCCTTTCTATCATAGCACCCCCTGATCTTTCTGCCCCTCCGTTCTAGGCCTGGGTATTCGGTGCTAACGGGAGGGGTAAAATGCCCCTTTTTCGAAGCTAATTTGAGATATCCTTCGTAAATAGCTCTCCGTTAGACCGTATCTTCTTTACCTCGTAGCTAAAGTGGGATTTCATCTAGTTAACGAAGTCCCGGAGGGTAGACCAGTTATGCTTGCTTAGGTAGGTCCGTAAGAAATAGGGGAAAACCATCCCTAAAAAGGCGTCTGTGAAAAACATTACCCTAACGAAGCTTTCCTAATCCCTAGAGACGTCGGTCTAGTCGACCTAAATTTCCTTATACGGCTGTTCCGGCCGTAAAGGCGTTCGTCTAGAAATTCGTCTCCTGGTTTTCCCTTAGCCGCAATATTCGCATTCGACGGTCTTTAGGCCCCTTATTCATACGCCTTATTATAGGCCCAAGTTATCTATCCACCCACTTTCATTAACTGTACACCCAAAAAGTGGATTAACTGTGGCTGACGGCCGAAGAGGGCCGATACCGCCAATTTGTATGCACACATTCTCTACGATAAGTAGAGCCAGGTAGTAACAGTTCTCCTTCAACGATAAGGCACCCAAAATTGAAGCTATTCGTACTGCGCTTTCTATGCTGATGAGACTATTCTTTGGTGTTTACAACAGGCCTCCTTCTTCGAGTGCACTACGTGCCTGATCCGCTTCATCTAACTGTGATTCCAATTGATCCCATACATCCTCAAGGGCGGCATCGTCCGTGAGGCCGGCGACGAAGATGCAGTCTTGGGTCTCCCGCCGTACCGGCTGATCGTCATCATCAGAGACTGGCGTTTGACGCCCGGCTTGTTGATACGCCCGTTGCATCCGTGTGCCTGCCTCGTACGTATCGCCGTTTTCCTCGATGTGCCGCAGCCCTCGTTCCGTTGAAGTCATCGCGGCCGTTACCGTACCCGTCATCGCCGCTGGTGCCGTTGAGGAGGAGGCAGTCGTATAGCCTCAGCCCGCTCATGCCGTTCAGCGATCTCGTGATGTGACGGATCCCGCCGCGTTGATCTTGACCGCCGTGACTCTTCGAGGTTGAGTGAGCCCTTGGGGCGGCCCAGCCCTGATAACTTGTGGCTCGTATGGTGCCCGAGTAGGGCTTGTGCCCTGAGCGCTTGTATCGATCGGAATATACCAAAATGGGTCGAAGTCGTCGAGTGTAAGGGAGGTATTGGTGTTGATAGACTCGAAGATTCGATGGCAGCACGGTAGCCCTCGACTAGTAGCCCAATTACAAGGACATTGACCTGGCGGCGGTTTGGCCCGTTGACTTCGGGGTCTAGAGGATCTTGCGATGCTCATCTATTAGTAGCTTTAACGCATATGACGATACTCGCTCGCGGATCGGCATATACGGCGCCTGTAGGGAGAACGTTGATATCTTGTGGAGGTTTCGATTCTCTATCGCTGTGATCTGAGCAGCCTGATGGCCCCAGAAGCGTTCGAATCGTTGGAAAACGGTCGTCAAATCGCCCGTACAGGACCAAAGGAACTTCTTCATATGAGAGTGAAGTCCTCGACGATCGAGGTCGTTGTACGCCCGAAGTGGCGATATTGATTAACGAAACAAGATACAAACTTCTCCTTCCAAGGCGTTAGCCACGTATTGCAACAGTATTGTATAGCTGCAAGCGGGTGGCGGCCTGGTGTCTCAAATTGGCGTAAACGTTCGTTGAAGCTATTCACATCTTGTGACTTGACGATCTCGTTCCACTCTTGTAGAAACGCTTGGAATGCCGGGGCCCGTACGACTCGATTGCCGATTTTTGATGCCTTAGGGAAAAATTGCTTGCATTTCGCAACGACATTCTGGTTAATATGCCACGTGCAGAGAAGGTTAGTACTGTTTTGAAGCTCGCGAAAGCTATCTAACGCCTTAAGCAACGCAGTATCTCGGTCCGTGACAGTGACCCTTGAAATGGGATCGACTCCTTCTCGCAAAGGACTAGCAGCAACGAGATAGCCCAATAGTAATGGGACTCGGTCTCGCCGTTCAAGAAGATAGAGGCAATAGAGAACGTTTTGTTATCTCGAGTGGCCGCGCAGATATTCAATAACGGCATATTGAATCGGTTCGTCTTGTAGGTACAGTCGAGGACGAGGACATCGTGATGCTGACGCCATCGATGGAAGGTAGCACGAGGCGCGAGAAATAGCCCAGTTAGCCGGCCCTGGGGATCACGACTATCTCGATGAAAGAAGTCGGACTTATCTAGCCGGTCGTAGAGAAACTGAAGAGGCGTACGGCCAGCTAGTTCTTCCTGACGGTGCCTAGCCAAGGCGTTACTCACGTCTTGAGCCGTGATACCGGCTAAACGAGGATCGTCGTGAACCAGGTCACGAAGCTCGCCAGCAATATCGGTCGGCCGGGTATTGTTATTAAACTTCCGGATAATGTCGTCGCGATACTTCTGGATAACAAGCGCCCGGTACTTCGGAAAGACCATCGGGTCATCAACAAGGCGATGATTGTGAACATCGTGAAGATAAGAGATAGTCCAGTAACCGCGTTTTTCCTTCAACGAGAGGCGAAATTCACAGTCTGTTTTCTGGGTTGCTGTATTGAGGCGACGACGAGAGATATGAGCAGCTTTATCCTTCCGATTTTCGTAGGGGCCGGCCTTGATACAACGAACAAGTGCAGACTTGCGTTGGCCAGCGTTATCCCGCTTCGATGTTCGAATGTGTAGGGCGTAGCCTCAGCCTCAGCAACGGTATCGGCGGCTTCCATCGCGGCCTGGAAGGTCGGGAATAGTGTCTTCGTAAGCGACTCCATGATTCGGGCTCGTAAGGGCAGAAAACGCGGTGCGAATAGCTTCAGTTTTGATGGTATTGCTGATAGTTACGGTTACAGGATGTTGTTACGCAAGCATCACGAACTGGCCAGCTGGCCGGCCGGGAATGGGCGCACCAAAATTAGCGGCATCGGCACTGCGCCTGACCCAGCCACAGTTGATCCACTTTTTGGTGTACAGTTAATAAAAGGAGGTGTATAGATAATTGGGCCCTTATTATAGGCCTAGCTTATGTAAAGCTAGGGGGCCCGGGTGACCAAGTCGTGCGTGCTAAAGAAGACCGTCTCCTTAGGCTGCCGGAAGAGGGTCCTTTATAGTAGACCTATTCCTCCTAGCAGGGAAAGCTGACTTCTCGGGAGGTTCCTTCCTAAGGATAGGTCGGCATTTGAGAACAAATTAACCGAATTTTTCCTCGATAAGCAGGACTTATCGTGGGGTCGATTTGCGGAGTAATTTCGGGAAATCGTATGCGATTACACATCTACCATCTGATAAGTGCCCGGCGGCGCGCACGCGAATATCTCCACGGCCAGCAGCCCAATCCAGGCCATTCCGGGGCCTGGGGGACTACTACACTCCGGCGGCGCGTTTGGTCGAGGAGCACGTATAGGCTACTGCCCGTCGAGATATTTGCGTTGCAGCGCCGCGAATGGGTAATGGGGCTAGGCTCGGCCACAGGAACTGTGAGATAGTAATGCACTGATCCTACGGCCCTTTGATCCTCAAAAATATGTCTAGTTACATGGATATAAATATGTGTAAAGACTCTACGAGGCGGCTGGCTTACGTCGACGAGGGCGGTCCGCTTTCCCAGCCGGGTCCTCCCCCGACGGCCCTGACCTCGAGTTGGACCTGGTCCCGGCCTGGACCTGGGTCATCGGGCACGGGGTCCCTACCTGTACCCGTATCTGGCCCTGGCCCTGGCCCCGATCCTGGCCCCGCCGTCGGCGCTGTTTGAGTTCGTCGACGAGTCGGTTCAAGCTTCGGCCGGCGCGTAACAGCTCTAGCTCTGCAACGGCCGCCTCCTTGCATTTGCCGGACGCCATACGGGCCAACAGCTCGTCCCAGATCACCTTCCGGCGACAGAACTGCACTCTGACCCCGTTCCCCGGCGCCAGCGGCTTCCCACGTCTCTTCCAGCTCCCGTACGGCCTTCTGACCTGCAAACCCTTCCTCCCACTCCTTCCAGACGTCCCCACCGTAAAGACCCTTGCCAGGGCTGTGACGATAGGCATGCCTGGTACCAGAGGCTCTGGGTCGGGGGCCGGGGCCGGAGCTGTATTGAGATTCAAGGTAGGTACTGTTGACGGCGCCGGGGCCGGGGCCGGCGCCAGCGCCTCTGCTGACCCGGCTCCGAAGTAACCGGTAAAGGTGATAGGGACCTTGCCTTGGAGGAGGGCATCGAGGCCGCCCTGAATCCCGTCCAGCCGGGCCTCAAGCCGGATGGCGAGCCGCTGACTATTCTGTAACAGGGCCTCCCGCGTGCTCTCTATGACGCCGCTTAGTTCCGGCAGCGCGCGTCGTACGAGCAGGCTTACCGGCTCCATAGCCCCTACCGCGGTGGACCGCACGGCGACGGCGAACTCGTCCCACTCGGGCCCGCTAAAGGGCGTAGGCGAAGAACGGTAGCGACGGGTAGCGGAGCTGTAGGACGGCCAGGTCCTGCAGAAGTACTATACGCAGGCGCCGCATAAGCAAGGAAGCCGTCGGCGGCTAAGTCGTCGTCGTCGAGACCGCCTTCTGCCCAGCATTGCCGGCGCGCCCGCGCCTCAAAGCGGGGTTCCCTCCTCGATCCACGGCCACAGCTGCTTTTGTAAGACGTACGGGGTTCGTGAGCCGCACGCGCGAGGAAGTAGTCCCCGGGAGGCCGAGAAGCCGGCGACGATACGCATGAACTGCCGCGGTAGGTGCGTAAGATATGCCTGGCAGAGCACGCTCTGGTTCCAGCGGCCGGCCTGCGAGATCTGGGCGAGCGACGTGCCATGGGTCTCCGCGTCCTGGGCGCCCACCCTGCGCGGGAGGTGCGTCTTCTTCGACGCGATAAGGCCGGCAGCGCCGAAGATACGCCAGGTCTCTTGTAGCTGCGTCGGGTACGAGAGCTCCTGCTCGCGGTCCCGCCCGACGAGGACCTTGATCCGATACCAGTCCTGACGGCGCCGGAAGGACGGGGGCGGTTCGCCGGCGACGTGCCAGCGCCAAAAGAAGAGCTGTGCTAGGGCCCCTTGCGTACAGAATAAGGGGTCCTTGTGCCGGAGCGCGCCCATAAACTCCTTCCTCGCCGTCTTATTTAGCTTGCCGTCCCGTAAAAGGCTTACCAGGCAACCACAGGCGGTCGGCCCTTCCGAAGGCGGATAGTCGAGTAGGGACAGGTCTGCAAGCTCCATCTTGCGGCGGTTCTCCCCCCGTAAGAGGTAGTAGTGGCCGAAGAGGAGGTCGACTCGCGTACGGAGGTTTTGCGGCGTATACGCGGCGCCAGTGAGAAGGAGATCCTGGATCCGAAGCCATTCATCGGGAGGTAGCCGGCCTGGATCCCGTCGCTCCCGCGGTCTTTAAAGGAGGCTCGGTCGTGCTTCCCCGCTGCCGGCCCCGTTGCTCAAGGAATCCTCGTACGGCGGCGCCCCGGGATTCTCCGTATTCGAGTTGCCGTGAGCCACCTGGAGCCTCCATAGCTCGATAACGGCCGCGATATAGGCGTCGATAGTGCCCTCGTAAGCAAAGACCCTTCGGTAAGGTCTACTGCAGCCGTCGCGAGGCCTGTGGGTGGCACGTAACCCTCGCGGTCGTCAGCGAGCAGCTCAGCGGCCTCGGCCAGGGGACCTCAAAGCTTCGGCCAGGCTTTCGGCCTCTGCCATGGCCGCGGCCTCGAGCTGCTCCTGTTCGCGCTGTTGCCGTACCTGTACGGCCTCGCCGTTGCCGTCGCCCTAACCTTACCCGCGCGCGCGGCTTCTTCTGCGGCGGCACAACGCGTCGTAACAGGATATCCTCTTTGAGCCACGCCGCCAGCTTGTCCGGCGTTACGAGCTCGCCGTCGGGCCAGCTATAGAGCGAGCCGTCTGCTGCAGCCCGAGGCGTATGGCACCAGGCCTATACGTATTTGTCTGTTAGCCGCCTGGGGGCCGTACGTGACAGGGATCGAAGTGGAGGACCGGCCGGGGACGCGCCTTCCACTCCCGCTGCTTCGCCGCGTAACTCCGCGCCGTGTTCGCCGGCTGTTCGTCCTTCTTCGCCTGGATGCCCGCCTCCGGGCGGCACGGGCGCGCTCGTCAGCTGCCGTGTACGAGTCGTCCGCGGCCATCTCGGTCGATCGGGCAACGTTCCTACGGGGCGAATGTCTGGGCTGGTGTTGGCCGGAAACCCGATAAGTTGGGTGGGAACTTATCAAATGCACTTATCAGGCGTCCTGCACACGATTTCACGGGCGGCGTTTTGCGGGCGATAAGTGGTCACGTGGCCTAAGTGAATTACGACGCAATTGCGGGCACCACCGATAAGCCCGATAGTCTGATTCTTCTAGACTAGCCTCGTAGGCTTAGACGTTGTGTCCTAGAAGATTCCTTCCTCTCGAAGAAGGCGGAAGGAAATCAGGCTCGTTGAAAATCGAGGGCAAAAAGCTACCCTTTTTCGTCGAAGAATTCGTATAGACCCGTTAGGTAATTTTATCGTGAAATTTACCCTTCCGTATCCCTCTATCCGTACGGTTAATTCCCCGGCAATAAGGTATTCCCTCCGTGCCTTCTTAAAGGACCGGAATCGTGAGAGTGTATTGCAGATATCGAGGGACGCACCAGAGTCAAGGATAGCTGATTTTCGTAGGGGATAGTCGGAGGGTCCTAACGGTTGGTCTTGCTGATCCGTGGGGAAGACGAATGCCGGATTTGCTATACCAACGATTTTTCCTCGAATTTGCGGTAGCGGCGTTAGTTGCTATTTCTTAGCAACCCGAATCTCGTCTATCTTCTTCTGCAACGAGGGGTCCTCCTTAAGAGACTGTTGTACTGTTTCTTGTAGCCTCTTTGAAGGGTTGACTCCTTTAGGTCGGTTTTCCTCGAAGACCTGCCAGCAGTCCTCTAGCCGATAGGGCTTTTTGCATGCTTGGCAGGTAGGTCGATTCCTTCTCGTTCGTTTCTTCGAGGAATCCTCGTCCCGGTCCGGAAGGTCTGCTTGAAAACCCCCCCGTTTTACCCCTTGTTGCTGATTTTGACGAAGAGGTTCGATTTCGACTAGTTCCCTGATTTTTCGACTAACGGACTGAAAGGTCTATTGGGGGACTAGTCGGGCCGGTCTGACTAACGGGACCGGGGCCGGGCCCGGAGCAAGAGGCGGAGCCGGGGCCGGGCCTACGGCAGCCGTTGAAGACAGTGTTAATGCTCTCGAGGGAGGTGGAGCCGAAGGAGCAACAGCCGCAACAGCAGCAGCGGGAGCCGCAGCAGCAAGGGCTGCAGCAGCTGCAGGTCGAGCCGTCTAGGTCAAGTGCTGGCCACGAAGGAATAAGACTGCTTGCTGTTGTACTCTAGCAGCCTCTTCGTCTAGTTCCCGGCTAGCTTCTCGAAAGATAGTCGAGTAACCGTTACTAATAGGCTTTATTAGCAGAGATATATCCCGTAGCCACTGGCCGGAAAGAGCTTCTGTGAGGAAGTATTAGTTAGCTTCCTCGAGGATTTCTTCCTACTTAGCTAGCTACGAAGAAGCTAGTAGGTTCCTAGTAGAAAAGGCTCCTAGGTGGGCCGTATAGGTCTTCCTAATACGGTCAGTTATATAACCTCTTAAGGGAGCTGTTAAGGTCTCGAGCTTTAAAAGCCACTGCCTAGGAGTCTCTTCCTCTCGAAGAGAGATTAGCTTTGCGGCACTAACGGACTCCGTTATCGCCGTACGAGCAGCCGTTAGCAACTTCGTCTCGTAAAGGTATTCCTTTCGGTGACTCTCGTAGTCGCCTAAGGCAGCAGAAAAAGCTCTCTGTTGTGCAGAGGTTAGCTTAGAGAAGAAGCTCCTCTGCAAAGTCCGTTGCCCTAGGACGAAGAGGGGGCTCGAGAGGGTCCTGCTTGTCAGAGAAGACCAAATTGTGGATGGTTCTGTCTACCCGAGCCCGTAGCTCCTTTACCCATTTATCCCAATCTTGGGGCTCTGCAAGAATCGTCCTACGGACCGTAGGGACGGCAGAGGAGTCGATTTTCGTCATTGTTGCGGGGAAAGGTAGAAAAGTCGGTTAAAATCGGCTTTTCTAGTAAGAGGGGTAAAAGGGAGCCACGAGGGATGCAAGAAGGGTGCCTTTTGCAGCAGCCGGAAGGTATAGGAATACTATTCCTCCCGGGCTTATAACTCTCGCGAAGAGAGATGCGAGAAATGCATATAAAATGCACGAAGGTGAAATTAGAAGTAAGGGGTCGGACAGGCAGGGCAGAGATGTTTGAATCTTGCGGGGGCAGTAATTGCAGTAGGGGAGTGATTGTTGTATTGCCTTGATTGTCCTTCTTTCCTCTATCTAACGCCCCTATTTATACCCGTCTGGCATCTCAATTAACAAAGAAGATCCTGCTTAAAGAAGCCACTGATGTCCTTTTAACTACCGAGCTTTTTGCCGGTTTTTTCCTTCCTTTGCAGCCGTTTCCGGCATATCCGTCTTATCTCTCGCTACTTTATGCTTTCCCTTATGCCCCCACCCTCCTTTCTACACCTCTTCTCGGCTCCTTCTTCTATACCGGGTGTTTCTAGCTTCCTTGGTCCCTCTTACTAAGGGATATCTTCGAGAACTACGAAATCAGGCCACGCTTCGCGATAATAATATTAAAGTTAACTTATTTATCGTAGCCTTAGATATTAATATTAAAGTAATTAATCTCTATATTAATAATTCCGTTATTATAGTTAAGGGCCTCTCCTTTAATATTTATAAGTTTATATAGATCTTTCTTATATCTCTATATAAGTCGGTAACGATTAATAACTTTAGGTAAAACGTAATTACCTATCGCGCTATAGTCTAAAAGTATATATATATAATATCCCGCGATTTAAATATCTAATACTATTTAGTTACTATAGCTTACTATTACTATATATAGGGTCCTTAGATCTTATTATATCGTGCTAGTTTATAGCCCTTTTATAGATAGTATACCTTATTTTTTACTTAGTCTTTATTTATTTTATTTAGGTATTCTTCTTTAATTTATTATTAATATTATTTCTTTATATTTTTATCGCGTAGTATTATATTAAGGCTTAAGAGACTAATTTCTTATAGCTAATCGAAGATTTCTTATTTCTTAACGCTATATTATTTATATTATACTACTTTATAGTTAATTATATACTATACTTTATAATTCTATTTATTTTTATATTAAAAGTTAAGTTTTTATTTAATATCTTTTTATTTTTCGCGTAGTATTTCTATATTAATTTTTCCTTAGTTAAATATAGCTTATAGCCTTTATATATATTACTAATAATATAACTTAATCGTTTAGGTAGCGTTAATTAACTTTTTAGTAGTTTAGTTCTATACTTAAATAGGGTTTTAAAAGTACTTATCCTTTAAACCTAACTAAGAAAGTATTATATCGTGCCCTTATCTAAAACTATATTATATAATCGAGTATTACTATTTATATAGATAAAAGTCTCTATTTATATAAACGATCTACTTTTTCTATATATACCTTGCCCGCCTAGCCCCCGCTACCTAATTTAGCTGCACTAACGTAGTAAAGGAGGGAGCCGCGCTAAGCGTAGCGTAAAGCCCCGCTAAGGGAGAAATCTGCCCTTCCTACCTATATCGCAAAGTAAAGCTATTCGTGATAGACCTACGATTTATCCTTAACGAGCCTACCGAAGAGCCTGCTAAAGAGCCTACTAAAGAGCCTGCCGAACAGCCTGCTAAACAGCCTGCCGAACAGCCTACTAAAGAGCTCGTCGGGCTGCTAATTCTACCTCTGCCGCCCTCGCTAACCTTTAACTCCTTTAACGAGCTCTATAACTTCCTCTAGAGCTTCTATCGTAGTTATAGCGCCGCTATCGTTAAGAGCTCTAGCTTACGTAAGCGTAAGATTAACGGGTAGTTCTTACCTATATACGTTATATTTATTTATAATTATAGCCTTTAACGAGCTTCGTTAAGTAGCGGCCTTTATAAAGCGTCCTTATAAAAGCTTAACTACCCCGTTAAGATTATCGCATCCGTAATAAAGAGATCCTACTAAAAGTAGACTTTTCGCGTTAACGATAGTTAATATAACTATAGGCAATTAATCGACTCTTTAGCTTA